AAATATTGTACGGTGCTCGTGCAAAGCTTGCATGAATGGTTTGGGTGGGTTCTTTTGTGCTCATCCAGCTCTTGTCCAAAAGGCTGGCTTTCAAAACGGGTGCTTTTACTTTCAGTTCTAACGAAGGCCGAGGAAAAGCTTAGAGGAAGGACTGTAATGAAGTTGGTGAAGGTAAAAATACCTGAATCCCGCAGGGATTTGCAGGGATGTCCTGAAATCACTCAGAGTAGCCTGCCAGAAGGGAAGCAAAACGCCAGCATGGGCAGATGAGTGAAGGGCGCAGAGCTACAGAGCCACCAGGAGCACAGCAGTGTAGTGGTCTTGTCTGCCCTGTCCTCGCTGCCTGGTGCAGGGCAGGCAGCAGCAGAGTCCAACTCCAGAGGAAAACCAAAGCCCTGGGGAAGACTTTAAAGTGAATGGGAGAAACAGGAGTCCACGTTTCCCCCCCAGCATGGATGGACCCAGCTCCAAATGCTTTAAATGTGTCTTGACCTTCCTGAGCCAGAGCTAACCTTCCTGCACGCAGCTCGGCACGCAGCCGCACGGAGAAGCAGGCAGCAGAACACAGGCAGGTCGCTCTTTTCTCCCCGGCCTCGCTGCGTAGGCTGGGTTAGCATTATACCACCGTGGTGCCGTTTTTATAGGCAAAACAGTAGCAGTTCCCTCCCTCGGTGGTATGCAGAAGGCTTTTCCTGAAGGAGGGGTTAGTTCTCTGTTGTGTTGCTACCTGCCGGCTGCTTTTCCCACTCTGTCCACCACCTGCTGCTGCGTTTTGCCCCGCTGAGCTCAAAATGCAGCGTGGTTCTCCGTGCATGTGCAGTGTTGTTGTCTCTGCAGTGTTTTCCCTGCTTGCACCGATGGGGCTCCAGACCTCCCTGCTGCTGCTCGGTGCAGTCAGAGCACCAGGCTTAGAGCCAAGCCCGGATCAGTCAGGGACGGAGTCGGGATCAGCGGTGAAGCTGACACCAAGTGGAGCTGCACCCAGCGCTGCTCAAGCAAACGGTGTTTCTGAATCGGCCCCAGCCGGCTGCCCTGATGCTGGGGTTTGATCTGTTAGATCCAGAGCAGCCTGCTTTGCACTCATATCACCATGCTTAAAGAGCGGTCACTTAATCTCACTCAGAAATGTTTACTTGCGAGGACCAGATGGCCCGGGGAGTTGGGCTAAACAGAGCGTTTTCCTTCTAGGTCATGCCTTCTCATCGCAGCCAGGTTGGTGATAGATAGATGCACACGCTCACCTGACAGCCACGTTTTTGGTGGTGTTCAGGCGGGTTTGCAGGGAGAGATGTCACACGGCAAGATGTCCCCGTGTCCTGCCACACGTGGTGCTGATTTGGCTGCGTCTATAGAGGAGGATCCAATGCTCCGCGGCGCCGGCTGCTTCGCATGCGCAGCCTGCAGGTAAGGGGAAGTTGCCCCGTGTCCGGCGGTGTCGTGCTGCCCTGCACATGGGCAGGATCGCATTTTGCAAGGCTGCCAGCCCAACTCCTTGCCCGACGTGAAAATCATTAAAAAAAACAGGGAAATGGGCAATTGCAGCTGACACGCAGGCTCTGCACGCTCTGAACTTTACGCACAACCACAGATAATGGCATCAGAATTAATGCCTGCTTCCCACTTGTCCTGCTATAAGCAATAAACGTTTGGCAAGTCAGTAAATAACAAAATTCTCATGTGGCCATCTACAGGTCACTGGGATACTTAAGAAGTTTGCGTTAATTATACCATGTTTGCCATCAAAGAGGGGATATTAACCCTTCTGAGCTGCTGCGGGAAAGTGGTGGAGTCGTTTGGAAGTAAGTAAACAAAATGTCACCAAAAAAATGCAATCTTTGCAAATGAAGGGGGAAAAAAAAAAAGCACAGAACAAAACAGGAAAGATGTTTAAGGCGAAAACCTCGCTAGACATCACGGAAAATAGGCTACCTTTTCAGCTTTCCTTTTATTTATTTTGTATTTTGACATCAAACACTCCCTGTAACCTAATCTTCTTGGCTTTTGATGTGGCCGTGGAGACATGACAATTAAGCACGGCTTAAAACAATAATCCCGACAACGGCAACCAAAGGCAAGTAATGTCAGGGTCCTCCCCTTGCCAAGAGCCTGTCCCCCGGTGCTCGGTGCGAGTGAAAGGACCGTAAATCCCAATTAGCTGCCCGGGTCTGCGCTCCGCGGATTCACCGCCTCGTGTTGAACTTTACACGCTTGCTCCATTTCCATTCCCTGCTGTTTGTTTTCCTTCCGCTATGCAGAATGTCTGGAGAGGAACCCGAGGCGCGCGTTGCAGGGGATGGGCCACCAAGTCCCCCCTCGGGGCCACCCAGAGCCTACGGCCCCGTTTCTGACGGCAACGGGGGCAAACCCTGCCTAGAGCCCGTCGGGGGACAGAACCGGAGCAAAACGCCTCGATTATCCCAAACTACTCTATTATCCCAAACTGCTCTAAAGCAACGCTCCCGTTCCGATCATCTCGGGCGATCGGACATGGAGGGAGAGCGGCCGGGTTCAGGTATCGCCCCATTTTAAACCTGTCTGCAGACAAGCGTGTTTCTTTTTAAATGACGCTCCCGCAGATGTAACTGGACCCTCTGCTGTAAAAACTGCTTTTTTTTTTTTAATGGGTGTTTGCGTTAAGCCTGGCTGGACCAGTGGAGAGAGGCGCGGGACCGGCTGGGAGCGCCGCGGGGCGGCCTCGGCCCGGGACCAGCCTCCAAAAGAGGCTGGAGGCCGAAGGGAAGCGGCGCCGGGAAGCGCTGGAAAAGGGACCTTGGGCTGGGTTTTCGGCGAGGTGAGTGGGGACTCCAGCCCACGCCGCCTCCCACGGAAGCGAGAGGCGGGAACCCCAGGTCCCATTAGCAGTGCTCTTGAGTAGAGCATTGCCCAGCCAACCTGGTGGCCCTCGCTGTCCCCTCCGTGTCCCTGGTGGCCCTCGCTGTCCCCTCCGTGTCCCACGGCACCGCAGCGGCCCCAGCTCCCGCGTCCCTCCCTCCACGCGGCGCTCCAGCGATGCCGCACAGCAGGAAGCAGTTTTCCAGGCCTTTACAACCCATTTTTCTCCCCTTCTTTCCTTTTTTCACTTGAAAAATATTCCCCCAACCCCTTAAAAAAAAAAAAAAAAAAGACAAAACATGCAGTTCATCATCCGCATCGTGGCCGCCGCCTTAGGTTTTTCTTTTTAAACCGGTTTAGAAACTTTATCGCGCTGAACGGCGTGACCTCGCTGCCCCAAAACAACCCTGGAGAATGCGCTTTTGTACCCGGGCATTTTCTGCTAAATCATTCCCCCTCTGCCTGCTCGTCCTACCCTGGCAGCTCTCTGGAATATCGCGAGCCCGCGCTGCATGGAGCCCAAGCTAATAATTCTACCGGCAACAACGACGCCGGGCATTTTTCCTTTCTCCTTCCTCAAGGCGGCCTTGATGCCACGAAGCACAGGGGCTTTCACAAAAAAAAAAAGGGTATTTTATTATTCTTAGCAATATTCACCTTGAAGGAATATGAGGAAAGCATACACTTTTTACAGACAATATATAAACATGTTGTACATAATTAACAATAACTTAGTTCACTAATCCAAAAATAAGCAAAATAAAAAAATTAAAATAAAAACAGAAAATACTGCAATTTTTTTTTCCTTATGCTGATACAAGTACAAAATAATTTAAATCGCGACTGCCGTTGTCTATGCTGCAGTGACTGACAATATATTGCACTTTGTCAACTGTATCAGAAATCCCTGGCTTCCACCCACAGCCCTTCCCCACCCCTGCCCAAATCCTACCGCAATTGGAGTCGGGTACAAAGAACGTACAACTGTACCATTGTAAAGGTAAAAAGCAGAAAGGACTTAATTTTTTATCTCAGTAGATTAAAAATTCTTATGATTTCTCCCAACTAATTTTGATTCCCATTTATTTCCACTTCTTTACAAAGTGCACCTATATGCCTACGCAGACCAGAAGAAAAAAGAAGGAAAGCAGGATTTTCCATGGCTGCTTGGTCCTTAATTCATTATCAAACATTTGAATTATATATTTAGAAAAAAAAAAATGTACATCCATTGTTATTTGTTTCGTTTTTTTTCCTTTAAAGCAGGATTTTTGCAGTAAAGATACAATTGGCTTGATCCAAAAAAAAAAAAAGTAACCCCAACGACAAAAAAAAAGTTAAAAAGTTAAAAAAAAATAAAAAGCTCGTCACAGAGTTAAGCTTACGTGGTTTACATTATCAAACCCCTCTGCTCATTGGGGCATTTTCATCAGAAGTATAGCTAAATATGTACACTGTATGTTATACTGGAGCTTGTGTTCACGAGAGGCATCAGATCATAACAATCAATAGAATACACTTCACATTGGCAATAGCTTGGTTTTCAGTCATTTACGTACAATATGGTTTAATAATGGGAGATTTAATTTTTTTTTCTTTTTTTTTTCTTTTTTTTTTAAACTCCTATAAACCGCGCCACGGAAAGCGGCCGCCCCGCTGAGCCCGGGGCGTTTTCCCCGACCGCCCGTGTCTCCCGTTCCCCTCGCCCAGCCCTCCCGGGAGCCTCTTCCCCACGGATCGTCCCGGATCGTCCCGCATAGCTGCCCACTTTGAGGAACAATAGGGCGCTGGGGACGGGGGCTGTCTTTCCCTAAATAAACCTTTCACGTTGGGGAAAAGACTGAAGAAATTGTGTCAAAGGAATCGCTGTCTTGGGCTTATTAAAATCCCGTCTTACGCCTATATTTTCACTTTTTTTTTTTTTTTTTTAATTTTGCGCTCTCCTTTTCCCCTTCCTAGCAGGTATTTTGGTATGAAAAATAGATGAAGCTAATCCAGTCCCCCCTCCCCTGGTATGAAGGCTGGTTTTCTTGCAGGGTGGCCATTCCAAACAACAGCACAAAAACATGCAATCACAGGGGCTGAGGCGTTTTGTGGAAAACAAGAGCAAAATAAATATGATTTTGTGTCTGATTTCATTTTAAAAATTAAGTTTTTATAAAGATGTCCTTTTTCTTTGTTTTCCTTCCCTCCCCAAACAAAGTCCGCAATAGAAATCCGGCACGTGTGGCTTGCGGTGAGCCGATCCCATCCTCGGAGGCTGCTGATATCTCTTTACAATATTCACAGTAATAACAAAGAGAGAAAGGACAGCCAGTTCCAGCCTCTCCAGCCACCTTTTGCTTTCCGCTGGACCACCAGCTTATCAAACAGGTGAGCTCTTCTTTTTCCTTATACCTGAGGGGGCAAAGTGCATCACAGGCACCGCGTTGCTGCACAAGACCCATCGCTTGCAAGGTTTCGGTCCAGTTAAACCCCACGGGAGCAGAGCTCTCCCTTGGCCGTCCCCACGGTCTCCTCTTTGCAGAACCTCCTCTTGCTCGCTGTCACCTTCGGCAGAGCCCCGTGGTCTCAATCTCCGGGCGGGTCTCTCGGCCGCCGGGCCTTATCCCATGGCTGTGACCATGCTGGAGGGGTGCGGGTGTCCGAAGGAGATGCTGGAAGATGGGTGGATGGGCGTAGGGGTTGGGAGGATGTGTCCAGAGTGGCTGAAAGGCGGCAAGTGCCCCATGGGCGCCATGTGGCTGGCGAGGGCAGCGGCGCTGAACGGAGACGATTTCTCCTGCATGCACTTGGACAGTTCCTCAAAGCACTCGGAGCCTTTCTTGCTTTTCTTTGATTTGTTGGACATTTTCCTATTCCGGGTCTGAATTCCTTCCTTTTTCATGGTCAGGGGCCTGTTCACCTGCAAGGAATGAGAAAATCAGGCTCCTGCAGACAGAATGACCTTATTGTGCAAAAATGAAAATATTTGGACAGCCCCCATGTGTTTTTCCTGGATGGAGACCTTTTTTCTGGCCAAAAAAAAAAATGGTGTTTCGCTCTGCAGAACTTGTTTATATTGATTTGTTTAATAAAACCACACACACACAAAAAAAAACCCTAGACATGAAAAACAAATCAAAGTGAATTTGGCAGCTGATGACTCTCCTTCCCGTAGGCTTCCCCCCAGTCCTCATTCATTTCCTAATGGGAGAGATCAAACTAGGAGGCACACGTTGACCCAAATTCACTCCTGAGACAAGAGCAATCTTGCACCAGTAACCTCTGTTACTTACAGGTGAAATAATGTTCCAACATGTCAAGTGATTAGATTTAATTCCTTTTAAAAAAAAAGCCCTGGGTATACTTGTTTCTTTAAAAAAAAAAATAGAAAACAACCCCAAGATGCCCTATTGGGATTAATTTTTGCACAAAGCACATTTCAAATGGCCCCTCTGCCTCTGCAAACCGCACCCAAGCCGCGCTTAGTTAAAACCGAGTGTTGTAACTCTATTTTGCCCCATTTGCCCAAGCGTTAGAAGCCAAGCTCACGCATTGTCATGTCACCCAACTTAGCATCACTATGCCTGCAAAAAGAATGGCTCTCGCTTCCCAGGGGAACCTTAGAGACGGGGGGGTCGGGGGGGGAGGAATAAAACACCACCCCAAACCCTGAAGCCGATAAAGGGCACCACGCAGTTAAGACATCAGTCGCGGCCAGACACGGGAGCCGGGCGAATACTCACGTTGTGCAGTTTATAGTAGAGTCCGCAGGCGTTGCAAACCGGGTCCCCGTTTGCATTGCGCCGCCATAAGGTCGTGGTGGTCGTCTGACAGTTGGCACAGCACGTCCCCGCTCTCCTGGCCGCCGACTAACCGGGAAGAGAGAGGAAAATGAATGAGGGAGCGGCAGGAGGAGGGAGAGCACGGGGGGAGAGGTCAGGCCGGGCTCAGCAGTGAGCTTGGGTAGAACTAATCCCGAGATCTTCCAGAGCAGCGAGGGCGGAGGAAAGCGCCTATGGGCTTGACGTTTGGTGGCCGTGGCGTTTTTGGTTAAATGCGAGTATTCTCCAAGCCCCCGGGCAACATGCGAGCCAGGCAAGTAGGGAGGGAAACGACGCAGCCCTTTTTAACTCTCCGAACACAAAATATTTTGTGGGGGAAATATTTTTCCCCCCATGAAAAAAGGGAGGAAAAGGACATCTCATTTGCACAGGTCTTCCCTTTGCAGGACTCTAGAAAGCCCTCCTGAAGTACATTTGCCCTTTCTTTTTTTAAATACCCATTTAGTTTATGCCAATGGTGAGATTTGAGTTTAAAATGAGGCAGCAATCTGAAAGAATGCCATTTTTTACCCCTACTCTGGCCCTTTAAAGAAGTCCACAAAAGAAACCCAACTGCATTGCTTAACTGGGTGCAGTATTTATTGGAGCCATCACTGAAAATTCAGTTTCCATTTACAAGTGAAAGGGAGAAAACAAAACCGGCTCCAACTTTCTTTAAATATTTAGCAAATCAAATTTCGTGCCTCGGAGCGACGATTGCGCTGACCCGTCTGCCGCCTCCGTCCCTGCCCAGCTCCGTGGCTGACAGGCCCTCAAACAACCCTCTCAAGAGAAAAAAAATAACTTGGACCTCGCTGATTCGCATTGTTCTGCTGAATTGGAGGTGGGGGGAAGGAAAAATACCCCAAATATTCAACTCCTCCATAAATGAGATTAGGAAAAGCAGTGCGGCCGGGGTGGCCGCAATGAGACGGACCGGGGGGGTTGCTCCAGTGTTCCAAGGGTTCCGTTGCACCCCGTGTTTTGGGGAGGAATTTCTTGCTGGGAAGCTGTGGCCTTGCCCCGCGCAGCGGCGGACACGGCCCGGCGCAGTCGCACGAGTGCGGAGGACTAAGTGTTTTCTTGCCTTAAACGAGCAGAGCTCGCTCCCCAAGGCACGGATCTGCGCCGCTCTCCCCGGCCTGGCTCGCAGAGGGTTCTTGCCCCGGGTCCGGATGGCAGCGCGGGGCGAACGGCCCCACGGTGCTGAGGCCGGAGCCCCCGACCCAATTCCCCATCCCGCTTCTGCGTCGGCTCCTCCTGGTTTGCACCATTTGGCCCCGAGCGGGTGGACAAGCCCAAGCGGGAGCGGGGCCCACGGACACCCCTATATTCCGGTCCCTTCCCAGGACAAGGGTGCAGGGAAGGGACGCCCCGGCAGCGGGGACACCCAGGGCACCCAAGCCCGTGCCCAGGAGCAGCGACAGCTCCCGTCCCATCGCCCCACGTGCTATGGGCAGGGGAGCCCAGGGAGGGCCGTCGCATCCCCCAAACCAGCAAACAACAGTGGCCAGAGGGGCAATAAACAACGAAAATCAGTGTAAACCCCCCAAATATTTACCAACAAGAGCTAAACTAAAGGCACGTCTCCCTAGACCCCGGCCTCCTCGCAGCGCCCGGGAAGGGGCAGACCCCTGTTTGCACCTTTGAGGCGGCTTAGTGATCCCCAGCCACGCCGCTTAGCTCCGCGGCCTGTCCCGTTGAGCCGCGAAAGCCCTTGAGCCTGGCAGACGATAACGTTACCCTCTTGTCTTAACGTTTTTCTATACGTCGGGCACTTCGGAAGGCAAGTCATTAAGACCTCGCATAGCTGGAATTCTGACTCGCGACAGAAATCTCCTGTATGCCGGCCCCGCGCGACGGCACCCGCGCCAAATTCCTGCTCTCCCAGCCTCACCTCGGCGTGCCCGCGAACGGCCACGAGCTTCAGGCACCGTAAATCACAAAGCTCCCCAAAATGTATTTATTATTCTTAGCATTTTACGCATTATTTGTGGAGCGGAGCGTATTAGAAATTTCAAAACAGCAGGCCTGACTGGCAAGGCTTGCCTATAGAAACTCTCTAAAGCTTTTAGAGTCAGGAAACAGATACACAAAGTTTCCTTATCTTTAACGTACAGATATCCGGATAGGAAACTACTACCAGGAGCTTAGAAAGGACATTTTTTTTAAATCACTCAAATGAAAATACAAAGTATAGGTGACTCCATGGAAAAATAATAAGATTTTTTTTTTAAAACAGTAGGGGATTGTCTGGGGAGGGAACCAATATTAATATTGCCAGAGAATATAAGAGTGAAAATTACTTCATGGCTTTTATACAAATAATTATGAAGTAGGGAGCAGTAGCTTTGACTCATCTGATTTGTTTTGCTTTTTAGAGCTGGAACTATTTTTTTTTTAGCACACAGTGGAGGACGGTCTCGCTCCTAACCCTTTCAGGACCGGCAAGCGCCCCGCGCATCCCGAGGGGCCGAATGAATGAGGAATTCAATGGGAAGCTGTCAGGCGGGGACAGCCGGGGAGCCGGGGACAGCCGGGGACGCGACGCAGCGCAGGGGTTCCCGCCGCGGCCGCAGGCACGGAGCCACCTACCAGCCTCCGCTTGGGTTTAATGAGGGGTCGGTTTTGACCGTTCATTTTGTGGTAGAGCCCGCAGGCGTTGCACAGGTAGTGCCCGGTGCCGTCTCTTCTCCAGAGAGGGGTGGCGGTGGCGCCGCAGTTCACACACTCTCTGCCTTCTAAATGGAAACACGAAGAAACCGGGTTTCTTTCTTTAAAAACAAATTCACAAGAGCGTTTTGCGTTGTCCTTTAGGCATTCTCCAGGAGTCAAAACAGTGCGTTAAATCAAGCGCAATCGGGCGGCAGCGACATCGACAGCGCATGCAGCGGGGAGCCGAGCGCTCCGGCAGCGCCGGCGCTTCACGACGAGACCCTCCAAAAGCAGCGCTCGGGGCAAGGTGACGGGGACACCCTTAGTGTCACCCGGGCGGGAAGCCACCCACCCGTGGGGCACCGCGCGCTCCCCTCGGCGCTGCCCTCCCGGCTCCGCCGTGCTCCGCGGTGCCCGCGCTGGCCACCAACACACGTGCACACACCTGCAAACACACCAAGCGCGGGGACAGATTCCGAGGAAAAGGCTCCCGAGAACTAAATCTAAGCAGAAAGACCCCCTGCTCTCTGCTTTTTCCCTTTTTTAATTTCTTTTCTTTCCTAAGGCTGCAGGATAGGAAAGCAAAGCTGAGCAGCCGCACCAGAACACAGCAGCTTCATCAGGATCTCTGCTCCTAAAGCATGAAGTGGCTGCAAACCCTCCTTTATAATAAAGTTCAGTTTCAGCAGCACGCTGGAAACTACTATAAAAAGCGGGCTTTGAGTGCTTTCTCTGTGACTTTTCCACAATACTGTTTGGATGCAGCAGAGAACAGTTTACCTCATTGCTGCTTCGCTCTTAGTTTTGGGAAAAAGACATGGGAAAGAGAGCGTTGTGGAATGGGGCTATTAAAACTCAGCGTGTAGCTCCTAGATATCTATTTCTGCCTCCCAAAGCTTTCTGCTAAAAGTTCATTTGCCTCGGACGGTTCGAGGGCAGGTCTGCTTAATATAGAAGTCTCTCTTAATATAGTTTATGCAAATCCGACAGTATTTAACTGCAGAGGAAATTCTCTTTTTTTGCTAATAACTGCAGCAGGCCATGGCGAGTTCAGTGGGGCTCGTGTCTCCTTTAATCTAGGGAGCGGGCGACTTTTAAACAACACAGTCTGCAGTGAAAAATGAGGGGGGCTCCGCGGCGCTGCCTTCGGAGCTTTTGTCCCTGCGCGGGCAGGAAGCTGCAGGAGTCATCGTGTCGTGAGGCTTAGTTTTCCTACAAAAACACTGCATGGTCACGAACTTTCCCCAGTTCCTCGCACGGGGGGCTCCCTTACGGGAAAAAAAAAAAGAAAAAAAGCCTGAAAAAAACAACAAAAAAAAAGCCCCTCACTTCCCCACTCCAGTAAAATCACTGGCAACTTCAGGACAGAAATAAAAAAGCCAGATGCATTTATTTTCAGAGACCATGGTCTCGAATCCATTTCCAAAATGAGTAGGCTTGGGCTACTAATTTCCTTTACGTATTTGCTGCCCTATTAAAAAAATACATATACATAATATCGACTGCATTTAAATAATGGAGGGGGTGTTTTTCCCCTCAGAGAAGCCATTTGAAACAGAGCTGATAAGCTTGTAATATATCTGCTATTTTTTTTTTTTGCAAAACTCATAAAAGAGATTATATTTCTAAATCACGGTCTGCTTTAAAAATAAACGTGTGCGGGGCATCCATAAGCATCCATGTGCCTTGATCTATTAAAAAAATATATCCACGCAAATATATGTAGCCATTTTATTTTTAAAAGGCAATCTCAACTCAGCCCCTCCGTGCAGCATTTAATTTCCTTGCATTGCAGAGGACGTTAAGCCAGGGAGGCAAGCAGAATGACACAAATTCTCCCAGTTCATCTGCCTGCTTGTGCAGCTGGGCACATTGCAAAGTGAGATCACAGCTTCAGCCATCATGTAATTTGCTGATTTAGGACAGCACTTTTTTAGGAAGAAACCCAGGGAAGAGTTACGGACAGGGGAAAATCTGCAGTCGGTTGTTAGCAAGCAGAGATGTGTCCAGTTTGGGGAAAAAAAGAAAAAAATAAAGAGTATTTTCTAGTTAATGTTGGAGCAAGTTAGCAATGCCCGGGCACCTCAGTCTTTCGTGCTGGGATGTAAACTATATTTGAACTTTTGCTCCTGTAAAGCGGGGAGGAAATAAGGCCTGCGAGCTGCACCGGACCGGCCGGCGAAGTTTCGCTTTCGCCCCGCGCCGGGGCCTGCGCTCGCATCAACCCAGACACACCGAAACGCTGGGAGGGAGAGAAACCTCCGCTAGAACGTCCTGCCGTGGCACCTGCAGGGCTTCCACGGGCCCGGCCGGGTCCCAGCACCTCGGGCGGTGCGGGCCGGACAGGGGCTGCTTTTCCTGGGAGCGCCGCATTTTCCTGGAATAACCCCTGTTTGCAGCGCACGGCTCTGCCGCCTCGCTCCACGCTGCTTCCCCATGGAGCAGTCCAGGCTCCGGGGCACCTCTGTGGACATTTTGGTATCACGGACACTTGGGACAAGCCCCCTTTCCTATAGTTTAAAACCCCAGAAAAGTGGGACCAAGCGATCACCTTGCCCTGCTGTCCTGGCCGGAGCCCTCAGCGCTCCCAGCCCTGCAGCTGCCACCAGCGTCCCCAAAGAGCAAGCAAAGCAAAAGCACCACACACACACACACAGAGCACCCTGACCCCCCAGGGACACCCCCAACATGCGCCAGGGTCCCCAGCATGCAGCACTTACCCGAACAGGACCTGGCCTTGCTGCGGGGCTTGGGGGTGAAGCTGGACGCGGGGCCCCCCAGGAAGCTGCCGGGGTGGAAGAGGCTGCTGCTGTAGTCGTGGGCGGCCGGCACGTACGAGGGGTAGGTGGGGATGGGGTGGTGGGTGGAGGGCTGGGCCCCCATGCTGGTGAGGCTGCTGCGCAGCGGGCTCGCGCTCTCCATCTTCATCCCTTCCGACAGCGACACTTGGTACTTGATGCCCTCTTTGTCCTCCTGCCGGGCGCCGGCGGAGGAGGACGGCGAGGCAGCGCTGGTGGAGTTGGGGTCCGGCGACACTTCCTTGGGAGGGGTGGGGGGGAAGCCGAAGAGGTGGGAGCCCGAGTGCGAGGCCGGCGTGAGCGAGGACACGGAGGCCGTGCTGGACGTGCTGCTGCCCGGGTACACGGAGATGGCCCCGGGCGCTCCGGCCGCAGACGGGTGCAGGGGGGTCTTGGTGAAGGGGTTCACGGTCCAGGGGTTGTGGTGGTGGGCAGAGAGTGCCGCCTTGCTGCTGTCCAGCCAAGGGATGCCGGGGCTGTGGAGAAGATGAGGCCGGCACATCTGACTCCCAGTCAGGCGGGCTGCAGGGACGGGAGAGAGGCGGGATGAGCTCCAGGAAGCAACCCGGCTGCCGGGCCCGGTAGCTCCAGCTCCGCGGCCGGCACAGGGGAGCCGGGCACGGACAGAGGTTTCACAAACCCGACAAGAGCGGCCGCACTGGTGCAAAAGCCCCTCGTCCCTGCCCCCTCCGGGCGATGCCAGCCGGCCGGGAGGCTCTGGGAGCAGGGAGATGGGCATTGCGGGTGGGGGGCACCCCTGTGCTCCTGTCCCGCTCCCTGAGAGCGGGGAGAACCCCTTCCTGCTCCATCCCCGGGCTGCTGCAGTGCTCTCCCTTCTGCTCCTAAAGCCCCCCCAATTAAACTGCACGGGCGACTGGAGCTGGTTTGTGTTTTGCATCCGGGAAGCAGCCGTGTCTGAGAAGTTTCAGCCCGTGCACGCACTATTTCCCCTTCCTCCCTCACCCTCCTCCCTCCCAGCCAGCAGCGCCGCGTTATCTTTAGGGTTAAAAATCCACCCGTGCCTCCCTTTCTATCCTGATTGCTTTCCCCTCCATGCCATGCCGAGACACCGAAGCAGCCCCGGAGCAGAACTCGGCGCCGCCGCACAGGACACGGGCCGGCCTGCGCGGAGGCGGCGGGAGAGGCGCGGGGCGCAGAGCGGGGCCGGGGGCCTTTACCGTGGGCCTGGCTGTAGGAGACGCGGGCGCGGGCGTGGGCAGAGTTGGCGTAGTAGGGGTTGCCCTGCGAGTCCAGGTGGTTGAAGAAGACGTCGACTTCGTCGGGAGGTAGGAGCTGCGCCGGTTCCATGTAGTTGTGCGGCAGGCCGGGGTGGTGGCTCTCGGGGTGCTGCCCGTTGAGCACGGCGTGGTGGGCCATCCAGCGCGGCTGGTCCGTGGCCACCTCCATGGCGGCCGCGGGGCTCGGCGGCCCCCGGGCCCGCAGCGAGCGGCGCTCACGGGGCTCCGGCTCGCGGGGCGGCGCGCGGAGCTGCCGCGGGGCACGGCGCGGGGTGCAGTTCAGGGCACTCAAAAATAAAAATAAAGACTCGGGCGGTTCGAATTGGCCCTCGGATGGGCTTGTGGCGCGGAAACGTCCCGCGAAGTAAATGCGTCCCCTCGGTGCGCAGGAGGGCGGCGAGGGCGGCTCCCGGGGCAGCCGGCACCTGCAGGGAGACCAGGAGGGTGAGCGGCCCGGGGGGACGCGCTGCCCGCCAGGCCGGCTCCGCGCGGCCGCCTCCGCCCC